CATCCATCCATCCATCCATCCACCCAATACATCCATCCATCCATGGTTTTGTTTTTGTTTCACTCTACTGTACAAACATCTCAGACAAAGCTGGTACTTTAATGAAATACTATACAACTAAAACTCCTGAGCAATAAAAGAACAGCTTCTGAGCTACAAAATGCTGTTCTGAATAGGGTTGCAAAGGGGTGGAAAATTTTCGGTAAATTTCCGGGAAACGTTCCCTGGAATATTCCAAAAAATCCTGGAAAGTTTCTTTTTGCAACCCTAGTTCTGAAACTACTCACTTGTTTCTGTTCCTCTCCCAGACTGTCCCACATGGAGGCCACGATCTTGGAGACGTCTCCGAAGGTGGCGTTGGGGTTCTGGCCCTTGATGGCGGCTTGAGTGTCCCTGAAGAAGAGTGCGTAGGCTGAGACAGGCTTCTGCGGCTCATTGGGGTCCTTCTTCTTCTTCTTCTTCTGAGGTTTGGGCTTGGGCTTCATCATGTCAGAGGAGGGTCGCTTCTCTCCTGTGATCTGAAGGCGAAGAGAGAAATTAAATGAGTGAAGATGCATTTATTTGCCACAACAAGACATGCAATTCAGCAAATACAGTTCACTGCTGCATTCAGACATTGTGACTACAAATCAACGCTGGAAGTCATTCTAGTTCAGTTTCTTTGAAGAGCAGAGTATGAAAATGAAATGAAATATTAAATGCATGTGTAGTTTGTTGATATCTAAAGTTTCTTCGAGTGCATCTACACTCACAGCCTGTGTCTCCCAACATGCACTGCTGTTCCAGTCATACTGTATGCGTGTTTGGCTATGCAAATGCGGGGTGTCTTTTATCTGCAAACATCATGAAATAAAAATGGGATGCACTGAATTCCAGAATGCTTTCAGTCAAGCGACAGCGCCGTAATCTGCTCTGACAGTTCATGGACTCTCTTCAGAGCTCTGAAACATTGCGACTGAAATTGATTTCTTAATGCAGAGAGTCCAGCAGACGTTGTTAATATCCCATTTGAATCAGTGCTGCATCATCTCATGTCTGACTAATACACGTTTCTTCATTTAAAACCGCTGTGCATTTAAAATTAAGAAACACAATTGCATTATTTAAATGAGGATATAAACAGAGATAGAGAGAGTGGTGGTAAGAAACAGAGGAACAATACCACTTTGTTAAAGCAAACGAGTGAAAGAGGTTTCTAGGGCAGAACTTGATGGTTAGATAACATCATTCTCTCATCAGCATTTTCAATGTAGCAAAAGAAAAAAATAATAATTTGAAGAGAGAGGAAATGTAGCATGAAAGGCTGGCTGATGCTCCATTAAAACAGACCGCTGTATAATCTCCATACAAGTCTGACTTTACATGTGATTTACATGATGATCACATAAAACAACACTGGTGTCATTAACTAGAGTCAAAATGAGTTGTAAAGTCAACATGAAATTAAAATCAATCAACTTACTTTCTTAAATGATGTGGTTTTGACCAGGATTATAGTTAACTAAAACTAACGCTGAAATTAAAACCATAAAATAAAATAAAAAATTGTAAGATGAAAAAAAAAACCATTAACTAAAAAAAATAAAATAAATAAATAAATAATAATAATAATAATAAAAAATATAT